GGGGACGAAGTCCCCCTTATTTAAGAAATAAATAAAGTTAAAAAAATTAAAAACGTATAGATGATCATGCAGATCTTGTGATAATCAATTAAAAAAGTGTTAGACGAAATTTTTTTTCAAAAATTTAAAATTTTTTCTTTTTTTATAAAAACATCATAAAATTTTTTTTACATTTTTTTCTATTTGTAAGATTAAATATTTGGATATTACATAATTACAAATTAAAATTATAAGTGTATTTCTTTTAAAAAATACTGTGATATTTCATAAAAAATATTTTTTTTTACTATTTTTATTTTTAAACTACTTGAATTTATAATTAATGAAAGAATTAATTTAAAATTCATGTTATTTCAAATTTTTGTCAACTCAGTTCTTAATTTTTATATTACATTTTTTTTTATATAAAATTTTTTTAAATTAAACTTCTTTTTCCAAAACACTATAATCTCCACTTTGGACAATGAAATCAACTTTATTTATTAATTGAATGTTGTTCAGGCAGATTAAAAGCACTTGAATATTAATTTTCATGAATGTAGATATAGTGCTTAGAGAAGATTGCATTTTTCTTGATGATATTAACTCTCTTTTCTGTTTTTTTAATTTAGAGCGTAATATCTCCACTTTGGACAAATGAAATCAACTTCATTTATTAATTGAAAGTTGTTCAGGTGGGTTGATTCTACTTGAATATTAATTTTCATGAATATATGGTGTATATAGATGATAGATAGCTATATATTAATATGTAATTTTTAATAAAACGAATTAATAAAATTTAATTAATAAATTATTATAAAATTAAAATCAGTAATCAGTTAAATGTACAAAAATCGGTAATAAATTATTAGGTTTATTAACAATCGTCAATTTGATTTTACCGATTTGTTGCCAATTTCTACTGATCGATTTGTTGACAAGTGGCAGGCGAACTGTGCAAATCGTCCATAATAATTTTGACAATTTTTTTGGCGATCGGCCAAATTTAGACTAACTTTCGTCCAATATTCGTCAATTTAAAATTTGGACGAAATGGAATATTCTGACCAGTGTCATCGCAGCATTCCTAATGACTGACAGTTATTGGATGGGGATATCGGTCTTTCTTTTTTCCATCCAATAACTATTTAATATAGATCACGAGTAGCCAAAATTTTTTTTCAATTTTGTGCAATCTAATTTAAGTATTATAACTCATAAAAAAGAATTTTGGAAAATTCCACTGAAAATATTATTAGAATATCATAAATTTACTCATAATATCCCAAAACATGATTGATTTCAAGGACATTTTACATATATTATACAATATATTTTGAGGATAATTCAGCGTATTTTATAATCTGAAATATCAACAAATATACATAAACGATATTAGTCCTTATAGGGAAAGTTGTTCAAATTTTCAAAAAGGGTTTTCAAAAGGATTTAATTTAAATTAACAACTTTTTTTAAGAGAATTTTTAATATAATTAATAAATGTCGTTAAAATTTGAGTTATATTAAAAGTATAGATAAAATCCTTTAGATTTATCGAAGAAGGCACGAAAATAAGATCGTTATTAACTTTTTCTTGTCTGGTCACTCAATTTTATAATCAAAAGCATTTGTTAATAAATTTAATAATGGCGAGTGATTTTGGTATATGTACTGTACGTGTAAATCTTTTACGTAAATCTTTTTTCAAGCAAACACGTAATTTTTGAAATCAATTTATATAATTATACGATCGGTCATACCAACATACAGTATTTATGCTTTTGTAAAGCAAATGATCCTTAACGTTGCATATCGGCCAATTTGACATTTTCATTTTTTTCTTTCTTCAGAATAGTATAATGGGCGTTATATAATAAAATGTAGTTATTATGGAAGGTGCTAAGAAAGTTGATATTACAGTCTGATAAAGTACGGCCATCTTCCAATTGTTTATCAGCAAAGATCAAGCATTGCTAATCTGAGAGGACTTCAGATTAATGCTCAGTATTTCTCCCATCCTATTTATATATATATTAGTAATAGTCTGAAGTGTAATGAAAGATTATCATATGGGCGAGTTTAGTTCATTTAAATTTAATTGATATAATTGCCTTATCTGTCCCATTACATAATACCAATGTGTTCGATATTCATGTGATATTATGTCATGTGAATATACAGATTTTATTAAATAAAATTTTCCATCTAACTAATCGTTAAACAAAAATAACTTAACGAAAAAAACGTGTTCAACCCATCCGACCACTACACAACCCATCCGACTAACCTTGGTATATATTTCAGGCTAAACCTGCTGATTTTTCTTTAAATTTATGAATTTGTTTTATTAGTTTTCTCTATTTTTTTTTTTAGCTATTGTTTACTTACAGATTTCTCTTTTTTAGTCATGTCTACTCAAGATTCAACTAAGTTATATTGCTCTATTTGCAAAAGGCGTGCAAAAGGGTTTAAAAATCGCTCAGGACTTCAACGACATGAAACACTAAAACATGTGTCCTACAATACACTTCCGTCACACGTTCGGTCAGTTCCAAACTCCGAACTTTCACATTTAAAAAAAGCTATAATCAAAGAGTTGCAAAAACGTCTTAAAAATCATCACACTGCTGTTGGGAAACAAGTATTTTCAATACATTGCAGTGAAGATGCTTTTGTTAGTATTTTTAAAAATCATATAACTCGTTATTCTCCATGTGGGTCTTCTTATTTTTGTAGTTTTAAGGGGGAAAAAGCCTTTGAAGAAGTTGGAAAAATCTTGGATGATGAAAATTGGGGAGAACGTAATTATGGAGGAGGGCAATTAAGCTTTGTCCGTTTGCATATGCCTGAGGTTGAAAATAGTAATTATGAACAAAGTGCAAAAAAATCTAAAACAAAATCATTAGTTAATGGAGAAATGACTGTTCAATGGAAGGTGACAGGGGGTAAAGATAAAGAGAACCATAAATTTGAAGCAGGTTCAGCTCAATTTCGTTTTTTTTTAGATCAATGTCAAATTTAAAGAAAATCTTATAATGTAAATAGCAAATAATAAAAAAAATTATATAGATAAATTAGTTCAATTGAATACGTTTTTTCATTTTTTTTTTATTTGATAACAAATAAAATCCTGTTATTCGAGTCTGTATTTTTTGGATTTTTTAAAAAAATTAGGAACTCTATTTGATGCAAAGTACAATTGCCGATTTTCATGCTCTAACATTTCCAAAATTGCTGATTTTCGCGAATTTCTATTCCCTCCATCTTTCAATGTGTTTTGAAAATAAAGGCATATCTGCATATGATTTTTTTTTTCAACTGGAGAACATGAAAATGCTGCCAATCCAAACTTATGATGAATTTCAAGAAACTCCGCAACATGATTGCATAACACATGAATATAT